GCCAGGGTCCAGCGTGTCTGTTTTTAATTGGACGAATATCATGTAAAATTACAGTTTGTTTTGGTTAAAACATTTTTCATGTCTAATGCAAGATAAGTGTTTTCATGACTGCGTTCAGTTGTTTTGAAATGTGAGGAATCGTGTTTATGCAAGTCATAATTGGAGACGTCAAGCCAGATAGCGTCACTTTGGTCTTTTCAGTTTATGTAACCTTTTAGCTTGTTATTATATAAAGCGGAGACATTATACTTTGATCATGATGAGTGTGTTCGAGCTGACAATGCCGTTGTCTGGCAATCCAAACACAAGGTGGTGTCGAACTGCACCCGTTTCTGCTGTTTGCATGTCGTGTTTCTTTCATGTTTGCCACAAAGCTTTACTTTCTGATATCCAGTTTGAGACTAGAATATTTGATCCAAAACGCAAACTTTCTGAATGAAAAATGATTCGCCTAATAATGTTCCTGAATCAACCATTCATGTACTCTGCAGAAAAGGCAGAAGTTATGTCAGTTTGTGAAAGACATCAAGCTTAAAGGGAATTTCTGTCATTATTTACTTCAAACCCCAGATGTCTCGTTCTTATATGGAGCACAATATGAATCAGACAATGAAAGTGGATGGTGGTGACCACAGCTGACAAGCTAGAATTCAAGTGAATAATTACTTAAATTTAATTTTGCTTACGAAAAATTATTCTGCAGCTTTCAGATACTGAATATAGTGCACGAGTAATACGTATGAAAGGAGTTGTTCACTTTTTTTTTTTTTTTAAAAACGTTTGCTGATAATTTACTCACCCCCATGTCATCCAAGATGTCCATGTCTTTCTTTCTTCAGTTGAAAAGAAATTAAGGTTTTTGATGAAAACATTCCAGAATTTTTCTCCATATAATGGACTTCAATGGGAACCAAACGGTTCAAGGTCCGAAAGACACTTTCAGTGCAAACTGCAAACTGTTCAAAGGCCTTTAAACGATTCCAGACGATGAATAAGCGTCTTATCCAGCGAAACGATCGCTCATTTAAAAAAAAAAAAAGTTTAAGTTTTATAAGCTCAAATGGTCACTTTGCTCTGTACTGCGATGCACGTTTGTGACTCTCCTGTTCAAACTCGTTCATCAAAATGATCGAATCTTTTTCTGAGTCAACTCGTTCATTTTTTTGTTGAATGAACCAAATGACATGAAAAAAAGATTTGTTCATTTTGATGAACGAGTTCGAACAGGAGAGTCACGAACGCGCATCGCAGTACAGAGCAAAGTGACCATTTGAGCTTATAAACTTAAACTTTGTTATTTATTTTTTTAAATGAGCGATCGTTTCGCTTGATAAGATTCTTATTTATTGTCTGGAATAGTTTAAAGCCCTTTGAACAGTTTGCAGTTTGCACTGAAACTGTCTTTTGGACCTTGAGCCGTTTGGTTCCCATTGAAGTCCATTATATGGAGACAAATCCTGGAATGTTTTCATCAAAAATCTTAATTTCTTTTCGACTGAAGAAAGAATGACATGGACATCTTGGATGATATGGGGGTGAGTAAATTATCAGCAAAAGTTTTTTTTTGTTCTCCTTTAAGTGAATGTTGTTTGAAAGCCCCTCATTCCCATTCACTTTCATTGAGTGGGAAGAAAATCACTATAATTGAAATCTGGATGTGTGTGTTCAGACCTGCAGGAGCAGATGCAGAGGGCCGTGCAGCTGGAGCATGAACGGAGACTGGCCGAGGAGGAGGCCGCCAGGTTGGAGGCAGACAGGCAGGCGGCACTGCTCGCGAAGGAGGAACTGGCCCGTCAAGCCAAGGACCAGCTAAAGAGTCAAGAACAGCTGGTGAGAACTTAACGCCAATTCTCAGAGAAATGAAGAGCTGTTTATTTTCCATTAACAATCCTCCCCGTTCATTTCTCTCAGGCCGCTGAGCTAGCAGAACATACTGCTCGCATTGCACTCCTGGAAGAGGCCAAAAGACGCAAGGAGGAGGAAGCCGTGACATGGCAGCACAGAGTAAGAGCATTAAGACATGAACCCATATGGAAATATTGATAGTTTGCATTACTGCAAAAGTGTCCAAAAATATTCAGTGTATCCATACTCTTGGTGTATTCTCAAGTTCTTTAGTAATTGGATTGGCAGACTGTCTGATCTTTGTGATGTTGGACTGTGTTCAAGGCGAAAGAGGCCCAGGATGACCTGGTGAAGACCCGCGAGGAGCTTCACAACGTGATGGCGGCGCCACCTCTCCCTCCACCACCCCCCGCCTACGAACCTGATGAGAACGAATATGAAGATGGGGAGGAGAGCAACGGTAGCTACAGTGCAGACCTCCAGACAGGAGTATTCCATGACCACCGCAACGAAGAACAGCGACTCACTGAGGCCGAGAAGAATGAACGAGTTCAGAAACAGCTGTTGGTAAGTGTAACATTGTAGGAACAATACGCTGATTTCACGCAGCCGCCATTTTGAAATCGAAAGCGAGGCTCCAGTGGGAAGAACCCCCGGAAGTAAAGATAGACAACAATGACTTGGACTACCAACCTGAAGCTGCTGCCGCGATTTACACTATTGGATGTTAATATCCAATTAAAGATATGTATATAGTTCATTCCTGCTTCTTTTTTACTTTCTGAATTATATATACATATAAATAAATGAATGAATTTCACTGTATATAGTCTAAAGAATGAAATGTATGTACATTTTTAGAATAACTCATTTCTACATTAAAAACAACATTACGCCATCACATTCGTGACTCTCCTAAGATTAAAGGCGTCACTTCCGGTTTTCTTCCCACCGGAGCCATTTCAAAATGGCGGCTGTGTGAATTCAGCGTATTGGTTGAACTTTACGAGGCTTTAAGATTAGAGCCCAGGCAGGGTAGCCAATCCTGCTCCTTGAAGATTGAATTCAGGTCTGAGTCCAGCATGTTCCTAACAGGGTTAGGGTTATTTCCTCCAACAAGTGGTTTACTCGGCATTGGGAACACTCTCCTCTATTAACATCCATTAAAAGGCTTGCCTTTGAGGGGCTTTGATGGCTAGTAAGATGTTTAATTGGGGCTGGAGCTAATGTAAATAGCATAAAACCAACAAAAGTATTTGAAGAGTAATGAAAGTGTAGTCCCGATCCTGCCGTCCTCCATTATTGTAGTTGTTGCGCACAGAAACCATTTTAAACTAAAAATGAATTGTCACTACAGGCTTTGCATTTTAGGGTTGTGAATATAATGGCACTTTTCCATTACCAGTACCAGCTCGGCACCGTTTTCCATTGCAGACAGTATCGCCACAAATAGTACCCGGTCGTCATAGCGACGGCTTTCGTTCCTCGCTGCCCTATCAAGCTCTCGCTCAGAACCTCGCCGGAGGTGATACTACAAAAAGTACCCGAAAGCGGGTAGAGGTACAACTTTTACACAGTGGAAAAACAAAAAAAGGAGAGTCGAGTCAAGTTGAGCTGGTACTGTGTAGTGGAAAAGCGCCAATAGAGTACATAGTCATTGTGTAGGTCCTCTTTAGGGCTCGACAAAAGGGGCTTTTGTGCTGGGTAGTAGAACTACAACTTAAAGCAACTAGCCACCAGGGTTGTTCCCCGAGAAGTAATGGTTTCCCTAGGAAAGTTCTCCTGGTTGCATTCGTACCGCCAGTAGGAGCTCTAACAGTGCTCACATTCATTAGTTTAAAATCTGTCTAACAGTACCGTCTAAAACTTTATTAGATAGAATTGTTATGGATAGAAAGTAACATTAGACCATTATGAAAAGTTATTAGCATATATCCAGTGTTGCTAGCTGAGCAGAAATTCATAATCATGTTTGGCTTGGTCCCCTCAAAGTTGCGTTGGGCCTCTTAACCTTTTGCTGAGGAGATGATCCACGTTTGTAGGGTTAGTTTCTGGTGTTGATGTATAATCTATAATCTGTGGGTTTAAACAGCCTTTTTTTAAATGGTGGGTGCTGTTGTTTCGTGTGTGTTCGGCCAAACAGCGTCAATAACGTCACTGGTACTTCCTATAGTGCTGGGTTAGACCCTACTCGTCTGAAGTAGGAGCTAAATTAGTTCCTAGAACTAAAATCTTTTTTAAAAACTTTTGTGGGGGCTCAATTAGCTCCTACTTCAGAGTAGAGTCTAACCCAGCACAACCTGAACTACCAGTCATTTACTTCTGATTTGAAGAGAAAGTTAGGTTTAGGGTTGATTAGAGCGAGAGATATGCTTGGTTGATAGCAATTTCTAGCACCAGGGATGTCTACAAACATGGCCTTAGGTACATTAGGTTGTCTCATAATGATTAGTCTAGTACAGCCAAGCCAACAGATCTTTGTTGGTCCTGGACATTCTTATCAACAAATCAGATTTTAGAAATAGGATTAGGCTTGGGTTTTAGGCTGGGGTTGGGGCTTGTCTTTTAAACCTCTTCTGCCTTTAACTGTAATTAACAGTTGGGGTTAGGAATAGTCAATAAGATTTCTCCAAGTAGGTCATGGTCCTGAAATAACATACTTTATCGGTCCTAAAACAACATTCGGAATATCGTTTGGATTGTTTGGGTTTAGAGCCTGACATTGTGTTTGGTCTTAAAGGAGTAGTTCACTTTAAAAAAAAATGTTTGCTGATAATTTACTCACCCCCATGTCATCCAAGATGTCCGTGTCTTTCTTTCTTCAGTTGAAAAGAAATTAAGGTTTTTGATGAAAACATTCCAGGATTTGTCTCCATATAATGGACTTCAATGGGAACCAAACGGTTCAAGGTCCAAAAGACAGTTTCAGTGCAAACTGCAAACTGTTCAAAGGGCTTTAAACGATTCTAGACGATGAATAAGGGTCTTATCAAGCGAAACGATCGCTCATTTAATAAATAAATAACAATGTTTAAGTTTTATAAGCTCAAATGCTCGCCTTGCTCTGTTCTGTGATGAACGTTCGTGACTCTCCTGTTCGAACTCATTCATCGAAATGAACAAACTGACTTGGAAAAGGATTTGTTCGAACAGGAGAGTCACGAACGTGCATCACAGAACAGAGCAAGAGTTAAATTTTATTTATTTTTTAAATGAGCGATCGTTTCGCTTGATAAGACCCTTATTCATCGTCTGGAATCGTTTAAAGCCCTTTGAGTAGTTTGGTTCCCATTGAAGTCCATTATATGGGAAAAATCCTGGAATGTTTTCATCAAAAACCTTAATTTCTTTTCGACTGAAGAAAGAAAGACATGGACATCTTGGATGACATGGGGGTGACAAGTTTTTATTTTAAAAGTGAACTACTCCTTTAAGAACAATGTTGTTAATCCAGAAACATGATCCTATTTCACATTAAAAGGTTTGGATAGGTTTGTTTGACAGGAAGATTAATTCCAAACTGGTTGTATTCTTGAGTCATAGATCAAAAAAAGCATCCCAAAATTCCTGACTCTATCTTCTTTACAGGCTCTGACCTCCGAGTTATCCCAGGCTCGCGACGACAGCAAGAAGACTCAGAACGACCTGCTGCACACAGAGAACGTGCGCGCCGGCCGAGACAAATACAAAACTCTCCGGCAGATCCGCCAGGGCAACACCAAACAGAGAATTGATGAGTTTGAGGCCTTATAAAATATCTGGACCAGGAAACTTTGGGAAGGAGGGGGAAGGAATGAGTCTCAAAGCCCTTGTCTGTTTTCTTTCTATCCCTTACGTCTGAGTGGTCAATGCAAGAGGCACATGCACACGGTAATGCAACAGATTTCATTCAGTGGTTCAGTGTGCACTAAACAAGAAATTCTTTTAAAACCAAAAACATGCACTATGTAAATGTAATGACAAATGGGTTTTGTCATTACATTTATATACATTGATTCCCCGGCCCTTAATGGTGTACATGGAAACCCACAGCAACACTTTACGGTAAGGTTCTATACTGTAGCATTAGTTAACAAACAATGAACATTTGCACTTGTTCATTCTTGGTTTGTAATGCTTTAGATGACAAACAACTTGTAATATTGATGTATTTATATATGTTCCAATACACATTTATTAATCTTGGTTTATTGCTAACTAATGTTTATGTATAAAGGCTTATTTTAAAATGTTACCAATTTCACAAAATCACTTTTTCACAGAATGTGCTTGAAATAATAAATCATTTTGCCATAGACATACGAAGCGAAATAATATGTAAACGCACGTGCCAACAATGCATCCCCTTATGTTAATTATGTGTTTATTAATTCAATAATCTGGCCAAATTCTAACTAGCTTGGGGTTGTAATATTATAATAATAATAATAATGATAATAAGGGATTGTACTCGTTTTTTTGTTTTGTTTTCTTTTCCATGATCCACTCAGCACAGGGCTTGGCAGTATGATAATAATTTTATGTATTGTCTTATATTAAAACTCTTTCATTCATGTTGAATATGGCTTTTGCCAGAATATTTGTTATAGTGTTTATTTATTCTTTCTTTGGGTTATTTAAGGTTTTGGGGTAGATTTACTTTATGCTTATTTACTAATGACAGTGTGGATTCATTTGTTTATTGATTCTGTACTGACCCAAATGAAGATCTTTATGAGGATTCATATATATATATATATATATATATATATATATATATATTAGGGCTGTGCAAAAATTAATTGCGATTAATCGCATCCAAAATAAAAGTCTGTGTTTACAACATGTATTTGTGTGTGCTGTATATAATTATTTTGTATATATAAATACCTATGCATGCATGTATATATTTAAGAATTATTTGCGCTTAAATTCTGTATATATATATAAATACATAATCTATATTATATAAATATAAATATTTATATATGAATAACACATTTCCTTAAATATATACATGCATGTGTGTGTATTTATATATACAAAATAATTATATACAGCACATACAAAAATATTATGTCAACACAGACTTTTATTTTGGATGCGATTAATCGCAATTAATTTTTGCACAGCCCTAATATATTTTATATATAGTTCAGAAGCATGTTAAATCATTAGCTTTTCTGCATTAGGTACAAACTGATTTTTGCTATGGTTTTCAATAGAATTAGTTACTGAATGTTTATTGCCATGACATTGGGTTGGACGAAGACTTGTTTTTAGAAACTTTAATAACCTTTTGTCATCTCAACTTACTGTAAGTAAGTTCCGGACAGTTTTCACTGACTTACTAGCAGCTCTTTATATTTTAATTCAAACTTAAAAATAGCACAAATCAGGTAGTGTTAAAGACACCTTTATTCTATTGGAGGGATCACACTAGAACAGAGTTTTACACGTTCAGCATTTTGGGGTGATATACCAACCAATGATTTAGTAAATTGTTTCTATGATGCCTGTAACCATGCAGTGCCACTTTCATAAAAATAGGAAAGTATTATTTATTTTTTTGTCTCATCTGTTTTTTTTCTTCTTGCTACTGGGCAAGTTATTAGGGCTTACATGTCTTTTCTTTGTTTCCTCCAAATGATGCTCATTATTACTTACTTTGTCACTGTTAATTCATTAATTGAGGTTCCATTATGAAGATAAGCTAGTTTAATCACTTGCAGCTATTGTGTTTCAATATAAATATAAGCTTTTCACACTACCAACACTGCAGGGCTTAAAGGGACAGTATGTCATGTATTCACCCTCAAGTTGTTCCAAACCTGTTTAGTTTTCTGTCAAGCACAAAATAAGCTATTTTAAAGAATGTTGGTTTGGTCTCTATTGACTTCCATGGTATTTCCATAAGTCAATGGGGACCAACAGTCTTCAAAATATCTTCTTTTGCGTTCACATCAACCCAACCTGGATTATGGAGCTGGATCATGGTAACAATGTTATACAAGTAACGAAATCATTGTAAGAACTAGTTGACAACAAGCCTGTGTATAAGAGAACAGAGTTATTATTGTATAAAGCAGTAGTAATATAAGTATCATTGAGCTTCACAAAAACTGGATTTATTTATTTTCCCCCCAAGAGGTGTTTATTATATTAGAAATAAAGATTTATGAACAACAAATCTGGGTGTCTTATTTAAGAAGTTCAGTGTATAATAACGTACCACACACATCTTTGTAGATTATATTCAGTTTATTAATTTATGAAATAATTTATACATGAAATAAAACACCAAAACTGTTGATGTCTGATGAAATAGGATGCAAGAAATGGGAATGAGAGTCTGTTCGCAGGATTCTGTGGCCTCTTGTGAGCACAACTGCCACATGCCAGGATGTGTGGGTCGATGAAAAGGGTCCACGTTCTTCGGTTATGACCTCATGTTTGTGCTGACAGTTGCGTGAAGTGGAAGAACGAAGTCATGCCACTCTCCTGGCTTCTGCTGGAGGCGTTGCCATGAGGATTCTGCTGACAGAAGCAGACAGAGTATTTTTAGAGAAGTCTACTGGGGCTCATTTATAGATACAAAGAAACTTATTCAAATGATCATGATATAACTGGAATCTTGAGATCATGTGAATGTGCACCATTGAAAATTTGGGGGTCGATGAAATTTCTTTGCTTTTGTGAGATCAAAAATACTGGAAAAACAGTGAAATGTTACCATTTGGAATAGCTGTTTTCTATTTTATTATTATTCGTGTGATTCAAAGATGTATTTTCAGCATCATTACTCCAGTCTTCAGTGTCACATATCCTTCAGAAATCATTCTAAAATGCATTTTAATGCTTCAAGAATTCAATAGAACAGCAATTACATTGAACAAAATTATAAACGCAACACTTGTGTGCTCACTAACACAGATTTAGACAGATATGTGAGCAATACTTGAGAGAAATTTTTGATCTTAGATCTTTGATGAAATGAAGTGAGATGATGTGTATTTTTACCCCCTATTTTTCATGAGATGAAAAATAGGGGGTAAAAAAAAGTGTTGCATTTATAATTTTGATCAGCGTATTTGAAAAATCTGCTTTACTATCAATTTAATGCATCCTTGCTGAATTAAGGTATAATAAAGTATAAAAATATCACAGTGACCCCAAACTTTGATGAAAGAGTACATTTTAATTTCATCATGTGCTTTTAGGTGTTAAACTTGTGGTAAATAAAGTGGTATAGCTAGTAATGTGTCGTGTGTGTGTGTCTCACCGCCGGCCAGTCGTGCTGATCTCAGTAAGCGGTCAGCGAGGCTGAAGGTGTGTTTCTCCCACAGGTTGATCTGCAGGACGGCCTGCTGGAGCTCCAGAAGTGAGACTCTGCTGAAGCTCATCTGGAGAGAATCCGTCTTCTTCAGAGCAGTTCTCTGCACTAGCTCTCTCTCTCCAGGAAGATGAAGAGTCCTGGGGAGAACACACACAACGACATCAACTCATGTGCCACAAATGACAATATGACTAATATATCCTTGTGGAGAGGAGAAAACAGATTCATATACAGTACCAATACAAATTTGTGGTCAGTAAATAAATTGTTGACATTAAAACTAAATGTCAAAAGTGGCTGAACAGAAATAATGCTTTAAAAAAGAAAAAAAAAGTGTTAAAATGTAACATTTAATTACGACTTAGCTTAAAATGGTGCAAAATAAAAATCATTCTGTTTGCATGGGCCTTGGTTAGCATGCTAATCAATGTCCAGGAATCTATGAGAAATGATACCAACTGAATGTCTTTCTAATGATTATTAAAGGTGGAAATCTTTCAGAATTTGCCGTGAAATTTGCTATTGTAACGTTATGTTTATTTGTGCAAACTTTACACATATTGTCGCCTCACCCCTCGATGTAAGCTGTTCTTGAGACGGAGAGCTTCCACACATCAGTGATGACGACTTTCATCTGTCCTGCAGATCCCATCAAAGTGTCTGTAATGATAGATTAATTAGTGTTTTCATTCTGAAATAGGCCAAATTTATATATTGGATAAGTCCCAGAGTATTGTACCGTGAGTGTGTGTCAGGAACTGTAGTTGTGCTTTAAGCAGCAGCGGGTCTGAGGTGAACAGCTCAACATCGCCACCCAGTGAATGTCTCTGCTATGAAATAACAAGCCTCAGATTATTCACATGAGCAGACGTTTGCATGATCGTGTTGATTTGTTCTTTACACTTCCTGCCAATCTATTTACTTCCTTTTACTTGTTTTTGATGGTATTACAATTTGCACATACAGTGCACCATATGCACTCCCACAAGTTCCCATTGTTTAAATTGGGTCAGTTATTCAAGCATCTCCAATAGCGCATCTACTGCTCCTGATCTACTCTATTTATTAACTTATTGTTTAATTTAATTTGGCACATTTTTATTGCTTTCCCCAAGTCATGGCAACATCCCTTTTTACCTTACTTTAACTCATCAAAATAATTTAAGCAATTTCCACTTTTTTATAAGCTATGGCAATTTGTTTTTTCAGCTTAATATAATTTAAGTATGAATAACTTGTAAATCCAAGTTGATTTGACTTAAGACAGCTCTCTCTCTCTCTCTCTCTCTCTCTCTCTCTCTCTCTCTCTCTCTCTCTCTAAATATAGACAGACAGACAGACAGACAGACAGACAGACAGACAGACAGACAGACAGACAGATAGATAGATAGATAGATAGATAGATAGATAGATAGATAGATAGATAGATAGATAGATAGATAGATAGATAGATAGATAGATAGATAGATAGATAGATAGATAGATAGATAGAAATTAAGCAAATCATTTGATAGATATAATGAGATAATGATCGAGGTTACCTTAGGGCCGAGTGTGTTCCAGACGGAGCGCTGAGTGTTTGTGTTCTCCAGGCTGAAGTCTGCCAGACGGAGAAAAGTCTCACCCAGAAAGAGCTTGCGCTTGAGTCCTCTGGAGTGCCAGACTGAGACCTGGACCACACTTCGGACCAGCTGCTCACGCTCAAGTACACACTGCAAACACAACAACTGCATGAGGACCACTGCACTGGAGTACACACTGCAAACACAACACCTGCATGAAGACCACTACACTGAAGTACACACCGCAAACACAACACCAGCATGACGACCACTGCACTGGAGTACACACTGCAAACACAACACCTGCATGAGGACCACTGCACTCAAGTACACACTGCAAACACAACACCTGCATGAGGACCACTGCACTCAAGTACACACTGCAAACACAACAACTGCATGAGGACCACTGCACTCAAGTACACACTGCAAACACAACACCTGCATGAGGACCACTGCACTCAAGTACACACTGCAAACACAACACCTGCATGAGGACCACTGCACTCAAGTACACACTGCAAACACAACACCTGCATGAGGACCACTGCACTCACGTACACACTGCAAACACAACAACTGCATGAGGACCACTGCACTCAAGTACACACCGCAAACACAACACCTGCATGAGGACCACTGCACTCAAGTACACACTGCAAACACAACAACTGCATGAGGACCACTGCACTCAAGTACACACTGCAAACACAACACCTGCATGAGGACCACTGCACTCAAGTACACACCGCAAACACAACACCAGCATGACGACTACTGCACTCAAGTACACACTGCAAACACAAAATCTGCATGAGGACCACTGCACTCAAGTACACACCGCAAACACAACACCTGCATGAGGACCACTGCACTCAAGTACACACTGCAAACACAACACCTGCATGAGGACCACTGCACTCAAGTACACACTGCAAACACAACACCAGCATGAGGACCACTGCACTCAAGTACACACTGCAAACACAAAATCTGCATGAGGACCACTGCACTGGAGTACACACTGCAAACACAACACCTGCATGAGGACCACTGCACTCAAGTACACACTGCAAACACAACACCTGCATGAGGACCACTGTGCTCAAGTACACACTGCAAACACAACACCAGCATGAGGACCACTGCACTCAAGTACACACTGCAAACACAACACCAGCATGAGGACCACTGCACTCAAGTACACACTGCAAACACAACACCTGCATGAGGACCACTGCACTCAAGTACACACTGCAAACACAACACCTGCATGAGGACCACTGCACTCAAGTACACACTGCAAACACAACACCTGCATGAGGACCACTGCACTCAAGTACACACTGCAAACACAACACCTGCATGAGGACCACTGCACTCAAGTACACACTGCAAACACAACACCTGCATGAGGACCACTGCACTTTAAGTACACACTGCAAACACAACACCAGCATGAGGACCACTGCACTTTAAGTACACACTGCAAACACAACATCTGCATGAGGACCACTGCACTCAAGTACACACTGCAAACACAACACCTGCATGAGGACCACTGTGCTCAAGTACACACTGCAAACACAAAATCTGCATGAGGACCACTGCACTGGAGTACACACTGCAAACACAACACCTGCATGAGGACCACTGCACTCAAGTACACACTGCAAACACAACACCTGCATGAGGACCACTGCACTCAAGTACACACTGCAAACACAACACCTGCATGAGGACCACTGCACTCAAGTACACACTGCAAACACAACATCTGCATGAGGACCACTGCACTCAAGTACACACTTGATGATACTAATATAACACTTTCATTGTTGATTTTTTGTTGTTTTTTGTTTCACTAGTAACTCCTGCTTGTAAATACTCACTGTAAACGCTTCATTGTACACCGGGTTGTTTCCCTTCTTGACTGCTGTTTTCATCTTATTATTGTGATAATCCTTCGGCAGCAAACGGACCTTTACATACCTGTTTGTTCAGAAAAAGCAACATTTCTTGTCAGACCAACTGTATATGAGCAAAATATGCAAAATATGTTACAGCAACTATGTTCTCCTAACAATTTGCAAACATTTATCGTAATAAACTGCAAACTCTATCAAAAAACTTACGGATGACATTTCCTCCTCATATCTCCAAACATCAGATTTCTGCAGGCTTTGATAGTTATCTCCAAACAGGACGTCCTGTTGTTGTACCCAAAGCCAACCTCTATTTCTCCAGTCACGCTGTTTTCAAAGAACCCACAATCCATTCCTGTGCTGCTGTTGCTGTCCTGTATAAAACACAACTTGGAATGAATTCATATTTCATTTAAATTCTCTTTCTATATATATATATATATATATATATATATATATATATACACACACACACACAATTTTCAACACAAGCCTGTAATTTATTAAACGTTGATGCCATAAAAGGCTATCTTACAAATTTGTGCAGACTACAGGGGATTTTTTACTGAAAGCTCTGCACTTCTTATCAGATTAAACAGAAAACTGATGAAAGATTGTGTGACTACACACCCTGTGCTCATCGCTGTATGCGGATGTATATGAAACATCGTCATCTGTCAGGTAAATTGTGCTTGATGATGCGTACTGCTCCGAGGATTTGGTGTTTTGGGAAAGATCGGGAAGACTGGGAGCTTTGCACAGCTGTGAGGGAACAAAATTAGTTAAGAGTCACACTAATGGAAAACATCTAGTCACGGTCATTAGATGTCAAATATATATATATATATATATATATACTGTATATATCCAGGGCACGAAGCTCCCGTTCCACCACATCCCAAAGATGATCTATTGGTTTGAGATCTGGTGAATTTCGGGGCCATTTTAGTACAGTAAACTCATTGTCATGTTTAAGAAACCAATTTGAAATGATTTGAGCTTTGTGACATGGTGCATTATCCTGCTGGAAGTAGCCATCAGAGGATGGGTACATGGTGGCCATAAAGGGATGGACATGGTCAGAAACAATGCTCAGGTAGGCTGTGGCATTTAAACGATGCCCGATTGGCACTAAGGGACCTAAAGTGTGTCAAGAAAACATCCCCCACACCATTACACCACCACCACCAGCCTGCACAGTGGTAACAAGGCATGATGATCCATGTTCTCATTCTGTTTACGCCAAATTCTGACTCTACCATCTGAACGTCTCAACAGAAATCGAGACTCATCAGACCAGGCAACATTTTCCCAGTCTAAAAACTATTATTAGTAATTGAACACCAAAGGATTACCGGAGGATCATGTGACACTGAAGACTGGAGTAATGATGCTGAAAACACAGCTTTGGTCACAGGAGTATTGTCATAGGAGAACACAGTTTTGATCAAATAAATGCAGCCTTGATAAGAGACTTCTTTCAAAAGTTTAAAGGTTTCGTTCAAATTATTTTACAGGTTCTGCCCTAGTTAAACCTGACTGGCAGGAAGTCTACAGTGTTTTTATCATGAACTTTATAGAAACGAGTTGCTTAGTAGATATTAATTTAGTTCTTCATTCTGAGGCCAGAGAACTGGCTTAGAGCTGTTGATGACTTGACATCAATTCAATTGAATAAAAAACAGTTAATGAAAACGTCTATCTCTTACATTGCAGGCTTTGTCGAGGGCGCTCTCTGAAAGACTCTTGCGTCTGGAGTTCATGCGCCCGTAATCCACAGTCAGCTGACCGGTTTCCTCACTCAAATCATTCTGAGACTTGGAGAGCTCTGGCATCAGGAAAACACAAACATGTCTGGATCAGGCAGTTGTAGAAACTTTGGGGGATCTCAGAGTTATGACAATGTTATTACAGTGAAAAGCTTCGAGCTTTGTTCTCTTACTTTTTATGTGAGCACTGACAGACATCATAAGGTTCTCCATAGATTTAGTAAACGGCTTTGATGTTTTGGGATCCTATATGGCAGATGCACACAAGCAGATTATAAGGTGATGAAGAAACATACAGGGAACAAAAAAAAACACATAATAGAAAAATACATATAATTTTTTTCACCATTGATTTGTTAAATGATGGGACTTCTTTAAAGGGAGGAGGTGTTGGTGGCACGACTGCAATGAAGCTTAAACCAAATCACAAAACACATTAAAATGATTCATTTAAAAAAAAAAATTATTGAAGAATTGTCATGAAGTGAAGGTGGTTCTCCAACCTGAGCCGTTGATAAGACTGTAAAAGTTTGTCTCCGGTGGTCTCATGACTGTCTCCTAGAAACAAAAAAAAGACAGACTTCATGTATTAATATTGACATTTGATTGGGATGGTACTAAGTTTATTTCAACACAAATCATCATGCACAAATAGTAGACACGTAGTGATGTGAACGTAGATATAGTACATCAGGAATTCCCATGTACAAGTCTTGAAATATTGAGTTAATATTTAAATAATTTAACAAAACATTTATATGTCCACAGTTTTCTGATGCCGGTTAATAAAATATATTATCTTATTTAATAGCCTAATTGATTTATTAAATAGTTTTAAAGTTGTAAATTGTTATGATTATTAGCTTTTCATCGACTGACAAACCTCCTCAAAAAACTTCACAAACACCAGATCAGAAAATAATATTATGTGTAAAATAGGCATAAATGTAAAGTTAGCAGGTATTTATCCCAATGAAGACATTACAGTGAGCCGTGAATAAGTGTTCAGTGTTGATGTATTTCATTGTAAATTCATTGTAAATTTAGTTTGTTCAACCCAATAATCATCAGAAATTGTTCCTTTTAGCTAATTAAAGCAGACAAACCTTTGACATCCGTAAATTTCTTTGCTTGCTGCTCCAGAAACCATTCGCCAGATTTGATCTTAAATTCCCTGAAAAAAAATATATATATATATTATTATATAAATACTACTTATAGTTACTCATCTATCTCATTTATCTGTATGCCATCTATCTAAAGCTTTGGAAACACCAATGGATGATGATGTAACATTTATCCTCAGCTAGAAACACTTATATGGCCCATTCAAGTATGTTGGACTGTAAACAAAGCTTTCGCTTCTACAACTCTAAACCTAAAACCTATGAGCAAATACAGAACGGCATAGCATTGAATAATATAAAAAATGAAAAAAATGAATACTTTGAAAAATGAAAACTGTACCTAGGCCAACATAGAATATATGATTCATCGATATTTTTGTTGGTTTTAGACCACAATATTGTGATCCTAAACCAACAAAAATATCAATTAATATATTAATTAATATACAGTATATATACGCGTAAACACGTTTAAACACACAATTTCAGCAGTTTTACCATGATGAATCCACACAAGTTACCATGATACGAGCACCACCAAAAGTAATTCATTGTGTCTACTTTATACTATAAAACACACGCACGCACGCACACACACACACACAATGACAGATGCATCAAGTTAGAATTGCCTGAACTGCAACCGGTGAAAAATACAGTGAAATAAACAACTAACTACGACCAATTATCTAGCCCTCAAAACACCTACACACCCATATAGGTTAATGTGTCAAATGTGCCAGGAAACAAAATGTCCTTGACTAAAATGTTGCTATAGTACGAGAACCAGAAACGGTCTGGTTACTGATATTCTTCTAAATATCAGAAAATCAGCTGAATGAATTCGAAAACGGTAAAACCCAACTGTTTAACTCTGGAGGAGTTGTACAATTAGCCTATTTCCAAAAAAAGTGGAGTATCCCTTTAAGAGTAAAGAACGGTGGTGTGCCGTCTATATTGGATCTGACAGGAATTGTGCAACACACGGACTCTGGGTCGAACATGTATGGGCGAATAATTCCGGTTACCATTTTACAACATTGGACGTTTTCCCCCAAGTGCACCGACGGGTGAGTTGAAACTCATTATAATATGCAAAACTGTTACCCACTCACAACAGTGGGCGTTTACTTCCAAGTCTTCAGTGCGAGACGCCCATAAAAAACCCAGTGTTTTTCAGCTAGGCTCAAAAATAGGGTACAAAATAGCCTATTACTCATTCATTTTGATGTTTTTGAATGCAAAAACCAAGCAAACATCATACTGTAAGTTGACAATATAATAAAATTTAAAAAGCCAATTCATGACCCCTTTAAGTCCCCTCCCTTAAATCTCCATTATAGTTTAGGATTAGATGTGGACAATCAGGTAGCGGCAGGGAGTCCAAATTAGGCACATCTTCAATTCAAATTAGATCCGAAGGTGTTATAAAAAGCCACGAATGATGCATTGCTTTTACCTAAATGCATGACACATTGTGCACTTCCACTCTCTAGCGGACCGGACGACCCGACAGCGGTTACAGATGCGGTGACTGCATCCACAGCACACAGAACCACAGTCCCAGAACTTCCCCAGAGGTCGCTGACATCTCGCACACGATCTCTGACCATACGGACGAGCAATGCTCTTGGCACCCTGGCGATAGATACCTTGAAGTTCTATCTTTAACCTCCTAAAAAAAATAGTTTCAAATGTTATTTTTTTTATAGTACAATGCATTTTTTTTTTAAACCAACACAATAAATACAAGAACGTTCTAGGAACCCAGATGGCAACATAGTGTCGGCCCAGATCCACATGAACCAGATGTGGCCTGGATCTGGGTCGACATTATGTTGCCGTCTGGGAACATAGGGAAGAATTAGGACGTTCAACAGAACCATTGTCGGACCTGATTCTGTCTGCTTCGATGGTTCGAAGTGCTTTGTCTCTCTGAAGAACCTCTAGGACTCGTTCTCTCTCCAGAGCCTGGAACAATCCCAGATCCATAGGGCAGAGTTGATAGTGTTGGTTATCCCCTCGGAGTTTCATTTCAGTCCACAGTTCAGTTTAGTTCAGTTCAGAAGACGCCACTCTGCTAGGATTCTGAAAAAAAATGTTCAATCAAGAATGAATGGCATATTTGAAGGCATCAATAATAAAGGCATATTTTTTGTGAGTTCACAGTCAGTGCAGCTCAAGCTGCAACTAAACCATTCTCATGAGAAAACAGAACAATTTGACTAGTTGGCAACATACGGTAAAAACATTTAAAAAAACATGGACTATTCCTAGTGGGGCGTACTAGGAGTCTACTAATGGTCTACTACAGTCTACTAAAGGTCAACTACAGTGGTCTACTAATGATCTACTACAGTCTTCTAATGGTCTACTAAAGGTCAACTACAGTGGTCTACTAATGATCTACTAATGATCTACTACAGTCTTCTAATGGTCTACTAAAGGTATACTACAGTTTACTAAAGGTCAACTACAGTCTACTAATGGTCTACTACAGTCTACTAAAGGTCTACTACAGTCTACTAATGGTCTACTAATGGTCTACTACAGTCTACTAATGGTCTACTAATGGTCTACTACAGTCTACTAATGGTCTACTAATGATCTACTACAGTCTACTAATGGTCTACTAAAGGTCTACTACAGTCTACTAAAGGTCAACTACAGTCTACTAATGGTCTACTAATGGTCTACTACAGACTACTAATGGTCTACTAAAGGTCAACTACAGTTTACTAAAGGTCTACTACAGTCTACTAAAGGTCTACTACAGTCTACTAAAGGTCAACTACAGTGGTCTACTAATGATCTACTACAGTCTTCTAATGGTCTACTAAAGGTCAACTACAGTGGTCTACTAATGATCTACTAATGATCTACTACAGTCTTCTAATGGTCTACTAAAGGTATACTACAGTTTACTAAAGGTCAACTACAGTCTACTAATGGTCTACTACAGTCTACTAAAGGTCAACTACAGTCTACTAATGGTCTACTAATGGTCTACTACAGACTACTAATGGTCTACTAAAGGTCAACTACAGTTTACTAAAGGTCTACTACAGTCTACTAAAGGTCTACTACAGTCTACTAAAGGTCAACTACAGTCTACTAATGGTCTACTACAGTCTACTAATGATCTACTAATGGTCAAGTAAATGTCTACTAATGTCTACTGCGGTCAGTATACTAACAGTCAACTACAGTCTACTAATGGTCTACTAATGGTCAAGTAAATGTCTACTAATGTCTACTGCGGTCAGTATACTAACAGTCAACTACAGTCTACTAATGGTCTACTAATGGTCTCTTATAGTCCACTAATGGTCGACTACAGTCAAATAATGGTCAAGTAAAATCTACTAATCTCTACTGCGGTCAGTATACTAACAGTCTACTACACTCTACTATCAGTCTACTACAGTCTACTAATGGTCTAGAAATGGTCTACTATAGTCCACTAATGGTTGACTACAGTCAACTAATGGTCAAGTAAATGTCTACTAATGTCTACTGCGGTCAGTGCTGCAGACAGTCTACTAATGGTCTACTAATGGTCTACTATATAGTCCACTAATGGTCGACTACAGTCAAAATAATGGTCAAGTAAAATCTACTAATGTCTACTGCGGTCATGTGTACTACTGCATACTAACAGTCTACTACAGTCTACTAATGATCTACTAATGGTCTACTATAGTCTACTAATGGTCAGAACACTCACAGTCTACTAATGGTCGACTATAGTCAAATAATGGTCAAGTAAAATCTACCAATGTCTATTGCGGTCATGTGAACTACTGTATACTTACAGTCTACTAATGTTTTGCTAATATTCCGAGTGGGTTATAAAAACCAAAACGTTCAAAACGTTCAGTTTATTTAAACGTTTTTCTTGATTAGCCTATGAGAACACGAAGGAAACATTCCATTTAATCATTTTGCAAACATTATGGGATACTAAATATTTATAAATAATATTTATAAAAAAATGTTAACCGAACTAAAACTTTTGAGAAAAAAAAAAAAAAAAACGCTTCCATGAAGGATGTATAAATAATGTTTTTGTACTAATATTTTGAGAATATAATTAAAGACCAGATAAACTTTGAACGAACATTCGGTAACACTTTATAATAACTACACGCTAATAATCATTAGATAAGCAGGAGTAAACAGTTAATTCATCATTCATAAAGCATGAATAGACATTATAAACAGTTTATAAATACAGCTATAAATGATGTCTTCTTGATAAAAGCACATCTTTAATTTGCTTAATAATTGTATTGTCATCCTTTATTAATGATCAATTAATCATGTCTAAATGAAGAATTGGATTTTTTATAAACCAGTTATTTAAGAGTTTTCAGTGGTTCATAAGATTACTTAATAAACTATTTAAATGTACACTCATACATCTTATTATTCAGACATATAGTGATGGTTAATAAATGCTTTATTAACATGCTGTAATTCAGGGTTAATTCGCATAGTTATAAAGCATTTAGTAGTGGTCAGTTCACTATGTTCGTGAGCTCATCTAAAGTGGGGACTATTCATGCCTTGTAAAGCATTTATAAAGGAGATTTAAAGGCTGTTAAATATTTCTATGTTCTGGATCACTGTGTTGTGTTTGCTACATTTTACTGTTTAGAAGATTGATGAGCCTTTAAATCTCCTTTATAAATCCTTTACAAGGCATGAATAGTCCTCACTCACGAAATAATTAACTGACCACTACTAAACACTTTATAACTACCTGTATTACTTACACTTTCTAAGTGATCTTATGAATGACTGACAATACTTAAATAACTGGTTTGTAAATAATGCTATACTTCATTTAGGAATTATAAATTGATCATTAACAAAGTATGAAAATACAATTATTAAACGCATTATAGATATGCTTATAAATCAAGAAGACATCATCTATAGCTTTATTTATAAACTGCTTATTAATGGTCAAAATGCTTCCCAAGGTGTCAGTTAGATGACGCCTTGGGATGAGAATGGGCTGTATATCAATGAAATGGTAATCGATTATCAGCCCTATTTAAAAAAACACACCAGATAACAAAACCCAAAGCCAAATCAAAAAGCAAATTTTTTGGAAATGATGTCATTGTGACAATGTGTGGGACGACCCAGCATCAATGAAACTGAGTCAGAAGACCCTACACGGAATTCAGAGGAGTGTGGGAAGATTCTGCTGTCATTTCTCTTCATAAGCTCATTTACGTGAAGTCACTTCGCTGTACTCATATCTGGTGAACTGCTCTTGTCATGCAATGCATGGGGTTATGCGGGAACCCACAAAGTCTGGCCTCGGCCGCTCAACGTGAAGGCAGCGAGAGCCACTTCCAGGAATGGGTTTGTGTAACAAATGCCACAAGTGTCTATTCTATGCATAGTCGTGAGAAGAGTAGATAACCTGCTTCACACAGATTGAATCTACTTTAGTTTGGCCTTATTTACTTTCTTTTTTTTTTTTTTTTTGAATGAAACACCAGACATGTGCAAACAAAACTAAACTGATCCACACTGAATGGTCCGATTCGTACATGCATCCCTTAAAATCAGAGGGTTTGTTGCAAATTAAGGACCCCCAAATTGTTCTTACTGTTATTATAGTATTACAATCAATTAACCTCATGATTTCCAATCTTTAAGCGAAATGAAAATATTAATGTTGTCAGATTTGGTAAAACCATTGTTTTGAACAAATTCCACATTTAAGTCTTTGGACACATTAACAATTGCAGCCCTAAAAATGCATTGTTGTCATGGCAAGCTCAAACTACTAAGATTAAAATGTTTACCAACATCCATAGAGTACTTCTCTAAAACAATTCATACCTTGCTGCTAACATACGTTATAAACTTTACCCATTTTGCAGCTCTGTTAAAAGTGCTTGTAATAATAATCGTTATATTGATGTGTCATGATGAAATATTTAAAGCAAGCTTACCCTCCAGCTGGCGAGATGCGACAGCTCAAAGATCTGCAATGTCAACTCTACATAAAGACTCAACGCTGGTCGTCATGTTCCACTTCCTTCCTGTTCACACGATGATGACACAGGTCTGTGAAACTGCTATAAAAAGCCACGACGGTATCTTCTTCATTTCAAGAGTGCTGTGCAAGGCCACAATTTGATTCACATCTTTAGTTTGAAGGTGCACATGCAATGAATTACATAAATCAGATTGTGATTACGGAAGACTGCGGCATTTAATTTAGTATATTTCTAACATGCTTTTTTGCCTTGATGATCTTAATCAGTTCCATTTTCGATCTTGACCTACCAGGCTTTAAATCCAAACATGAAGGTCTACCAGGGTCCTCTCTGTGCTTGAGTTCTGTACAGAGAAACACAAGACGAAGGCTCCAGCGTAATGTGATATTAAGTAATATGATGGAAGAAGACAAAAGAGCAGAGCGCAGGAGGCAAACAAAACGGCGGGTGAGTTTAGCTAGCATTAGCAATTAGCTGGTTGAATGCGTCACGTTTGTCTTAATCCTCGTTGTAATGTTTTGCAAAAACACACAGCGTATGGTAGACAGCGTGCTACAAGTTCCGTGTTGACAGTTGGCATGACTTATAAGTTGAACCAATAAACGTAGACCTAGGGAAAGGGAACTAAAAAAGTCCTCGCTCTTGACTGGGAAAGAGTTATAGGAACTACGTGAGGAACTAAAAAAAATCCCCAATTTAGTCCGGTCGGAACACGAGAAAAAAAGGGTTATAGGAACGTTAGGTTCTAGGAACTGCAAAAGACCCTCCGGTCGGAAAGCGGCTATTGCAGAGTCGTGGTTTTCTCAAGCATCCTCAGCTGCTTTTTTGATAAAGCGTTGATAGGCCGACTTTTAGGCCTCTGCTCCCCTGCAGCTCAACCCTTTTAGTTCTGAGTTGTAGGGTCTCTTTGAGCCTCCTTGGAGCTGCCCTGAGTATAAAACATAGCTAGGCCACTTCTTGTCTTAGAGAATCTGTATATTGAGGCCTACGGTCTGAGGAACTAAAAAATCACCAATTTAGTCCGGTCAGAACACGAGAAAAAAAGGGTTAAAGGAACGTTAGGTTCTAGGAACTGCAAAAGTCCCTCAGAGGACCTAAGCCAGAATTGGGCAGGCTCTTTTCCTGAGGCTCCTCTAGTCCACCTGGGTTGGAAGTACTTTTAACCATTGTTTATCCGCTCTATCTGTTATATTAGTGTGAAGTTGCTAGGCTTTTGTTGGGCCTCCCTGACATTTATTGGATGTAGCTATAGGCCCCCCTCTCTCAAGAGAGAGTCCTTATCAAAATGCCTAGTCCTCCAAGCTCAGTCTGGGACTAAGTTGTTAGGCTCTCTATGAGTCTACTTAGTCACTGCCCTTGAACTAGAGCATTGGGTAACACTTTAGAATACGGTTCCTTCGTTAATGAATAACTACACAAGAACTAATGAGTAACACAATATTAACAATCTAGTAACTATTATTAACTAACAAGAAACTCTGATTAACGAACTAGTAAGTAATAGCGCACAGACGAAAGTGGTAGTTCACTATTAAGTAATCAATAACTACTATTTTTTTAATTCTTCCCAGAGAACTACTGAAAAAGTTTATTAACAATCTAGTAACTACTATTAACTAAAATAAACTCTTATTAACGAATTAGTAAGTAATAGTTCACAGATGAAAGTGTTACTAGATACTTCTGTGGGAGTTACTAATTATTTGGATCCGTATTATAAAGTGAAGATCATTGGAACTAACTAGTAATTACTCAAGTGTTACTACATGATCTAGTCATGATTTGTGCAAATGTTTGAGATTTTTGGTGAACTTTAGTATACTTTTAGAAAATGTCTTTAGTAACAATTGAGTAATTACTAGTTAGTTCCCATGATCTTCACTTTATAATACGGATCCAAATAACTAGTAATTAATAGCTCATAGATGAAAGTGTTACTAGATACTTCTGTGGGAATTACTAATTATTTGGATCCGTATTATAAAGTGAAGATCATCGGAACTAACTAGTAATGACTCAAGTGTTACTACATGATCTAGTCATGATTTGTGCAAACGTTTGAGATTTTTTGGTGAACTTTAGTAACTTTTAGAAAATGTCTTTAGTAATACTTTAGTAATTACTAGTTAGTTCCCATGATCTTCACTTTATAATACGAATCCAAATAATTAGTAATTCCCACAGAAGTATCTAGTAACACTTTCATCTGTGAGCTATTACTTACTAATTCGTTAATAAGAGTTTATTTTAGTTAATAGTAGTTACTAGATTATTAATAAACTTTTTCAGTAGTTCTCTGGGAAGTATTAAAAAAATAGTAGTTATTGATTACTTAATAGTGAACTACCACTTTCGTCTGTGCGCTATTACTTACTAGTTCGTTAATTAGAGTTTCTTGTTAGTTAATAATAGTTACTAGATTGTTAATATTGTGTTACTCATTAGTTCTTGTGTAGTTATTCATTAACGAAGGAACCGTATTCTAAAGTGTTACCGAGCATTGTTATAGGCCTCCTTTTGCTATAGAGGCTTCCATTCCTTTGACCTCCATCCATTATTGTGTCAGACTCCTAGCCCTGTTTTCAAGCATAGGATGTAGTTTATTCGTCCTATGAGCATAGGCTAAGCGGTTAGTCTATCTTTGAGCCTCCTTGGCTACTGCAAGCGTTTGCTTGGCCTCCTCTCTAGAGAGATTTATCTTATTGAGGCCTCTGCTCCCTTGAGCTCTGCTAGGGTAGCATTTGTGAGTGGTAAGCCTTCCTTGGCTACTTGTTAGGTCTCCTCTCATTATGAGAGTCGTTGTATTGAGGCCTCCACCCTGCGGAGCTCCACGGTCCAGTTAGACTGAGTTTATAGCTCCTTTTTTAGATTTCTCGGCACTGTCTTTGGGTTAGAGCATTGCTAGGCCTCTTGTTTTCGGCCTCCATGCTTTAGGGCTTTCTGAAAAGAAGTTCTGAGTGTTAAGGTGATGATACACAGCAACTTTTTGAGCAATGTTTCCGTCAACGGACAACCAGATGAGACACAGGGCCCACGACTGGGACTAGCCCATTTTCAATGGGAAAGTCCCCAAGCAACAATTGCTCAAAAAGTTGCCCTGTGTATCACCTTTAGGCTCTCTGTGGACCTCCTTGGACGCTGGCGTGAATGTGAACATTGTTTGGCTTCCTCTTTGAAAAGCTCCGGTCTATGACTATTGTCCTTTCAAGACACCAAGCTCTTCAGTTTACCTATGAGGAGCCTTGTAGCTCAGGCTCTGGCCACAGGGAACTGATCATGTTGCTGGTGTGCGCCTTAGGGATGAGGACTCCTTTGGGTCTTAGGTCAGCCAATTGGGCACTCATCCCTTCAGCATGTTCCCCATAGCACACTCTTTCGAAAGGGGACGTCTCAGGTTACGCATGTAACCATGGTTTCCTGAAAAGGGGAATGCACACATCTCCTTCAGGCAAGAAGAGGATGAGGTTTTTCACAGGTGCCATTTTATACTCGGAGTAGTGGATACACACTAACCTTTGAAAAGTATGGAATTAATGTTTTTTTTAGAAGTCTCTTCTGCTCACCAAGGCTGAATTTTGTTTTAATCAAAAATACAGTAAAAATGGTAATATTGTGAAATATTATACCGTTTTATATTTTAAATTGTAAAATATATTAATATTTTAACTATGTAATGGCAAAGCTGAATTTTCAGCATCAGTCGTCATGATCCTTCAGAAATCATTATAACATGATGATTTTGTGGTCAAGAAACGTTTCTTCTCATTTTAAGAAGAAAATAACAACATTTATTTGAAATGGAAATGTTTTGTAACATCACGGATGTATTTACAGTCAATTTAATGGACTTTTGCTGAATAAAATGATCAATAACTAACTAAATTAGTAGCTAATTTTTATAAGAAATGAATAGGTCCATAATGTAGTAAAAATCTTATTGAAGTGAATAATATTGACAGTGATGCTTAAAGGAGTAGTTCACTTTTGCTGATAATTTACTCACCCCCATGTCATCCAAGATATCCATGTCATTCTTTCTTCAGTCGAAAAGAAATTAAGGTTTTTGATGAAAACATTCCAGGATTTTTCTCCATATAATGGACTTCAATGGGAACCAAATGGTTCAAGGTCCAAAAGACAGTTTCAGTGCAAACTGTTCAAAGGGCTTTAAACGATTTCAGACGATGAATAAAGGTCTTATCAAGCGAAACGATCGCTCATTTAATAAATAAATAACAAAGTTTTATAAGCTCAAATGCTCGCCTTTTTCTGTTCTGTGATCGCGTTCGTGACCCTGCTGTTCGAACTCGTTCATCAAAATGAGCGAATCCTTTTTTGAGTCATTTGGATCATTCAACGAACGAAATGAACGAATTGACTCGGAAAAAGATTTGTTCATTTTGATGAACGGTTCGAACAGGAGAGTCACAAACGCGATCACAGAACGGAGAAAGGCGAGCATTTGTGCTTATAAAACTTAAACTTTTTTTTTTTTTTTTTAAATGAGCGTTCGTTTCGCTTGATAATAAGACCAAACAAAAACATTAATTTCTTTTTGACTGAAGAAAGAATGATATGGATGTCTTGGATGACATGGGGGTGAGTAAATTATCAGCAAAAGTTTTCATTTAAAAAAAAAAACCTACTCATTTAATGGCATTGAACTATAACAAACTGCACAAACAAAATACATAAACGTCATATTAAATATGATATAATTATTCCCCAAACGAGACGAGACATTGTAAACCTTGAATAACAAAAGTAACATATACAAATGTAATATGAATGTTGATCCAGATTTAGTAATATCAAAACTGACCTGAGAGAGTGAATCAATTAAAGGGATACTCCACCAAAAGTCATCATTTACTCACCCTCAAGTGTTTGCAAACCTGTATGAGAAAGATATTTTGAAGAACGATTGGCACCATTGACTTTCATAGTATTTTTTTTTCTACTATGGAAATCAATGGTGCTAAACTGTTTGGTTCCAATCGTTCTTCAAAACATCTTCCTTTGTGTTCAGCAGAAGAAACAAACTCATACAGGTTTGCAACACCTTGAGGGTGAGTTCTCATACAGAATTTTCATTTTTTTAGGTGGAGTACCCTATTAAATCATTAGAAACTGATACACAGTGACATAAATGCCTTCAATTGTTGATGTAATTCTGCTTTCTGGCCTGAAGGGGGAGTAAAAGCCACTATTATACTAGAGTTAATAAATCTTCAATTGGCTTGGACATGTTGCAAACAGCTGGAAAGAGCATTTGCTGTAGAACAATTTAATAAAACAACAAAAGTGACACATTGGGAGTGATTCCTGTGGAAAACATGGTTTACCGTTGTTTAACCCAAAACTCTTGATAAAGTTTCTTTTTAGATATTTTTTCTTCTTTTTCACTGGCTGAATCCAAGATAGTTAGACTTGATCCTGCATTCAGCAAGTTAAAAAAAAAAAAGTCAAAAACAGTTTTACAGCACACATGTTAGTGATTTGTGGTCAGTCAACACACACATGTTAGTGATTTGTGTTCAGTAACCACATGTGTGCTGAAAAACTGTTTTTGTTTTTCGGAAAACAGATTCTTTGTAACTCTTGCTGGGCAGTCTCTAGTTCAGTCGGTACATTCCCAGTTATAAATAGATCGCCTCTGAGAATGAAGAATTAAAGCAGATATCATAAACGGTTTAATTTTTCCATATT